CTCCACCCACTAGGACAACAGATAGAAGGCTTTGGGATGAGCAGGCGGCAGGAGGCAGCGTCTTCTTCCCAGGTACTGAGCCCCAGGTCCTTTCACGCTGTGGACGCATCCCACCCAGGCACTTACTCCCTAAGACAGCTGTTTCAACAGCTCCTACTGTGCACACTGTGCATTCCCGTGAGCCTCTCAAGGGTGAGAATAGTTTTCCATTTTGCTTCCAAAGTCCCCACACCTCAGTTATGTTATTAATATACGGCTGGGCACGGTGGCTCACGCTTATAATCGCAGCACTTTGGGAGGCTGAGGCAAGTGAATCACAAGGTCAGGAGTTTAAGACCAGCGTAGCCAAGATGGTGAAACCCATCACTACTAAAAATACAAAAAAATTAGCCAGGCATGGCAGCGGGCACCTGTAATTAGTTCCAGCTATTCCGAAGGCTGAGGCAGAGAGCTGCATGAACCCGGGAGGTGGAGGGTGCATGGAGCCCAGATCGCGCCACTGCACTCCAGTCTGGTGACAGAGCGAGACTCTGCCTCAAAAACAAAACAAAAAGATGAATATATATACAATACTTATGGAGTACTTAATATGTCAGTACTTAAAGTGGAATATCATTATAACAACCCTATGAGGTGAGTATTACTATTTCTAACCTTCACGGATGAGAAAACTGAAGCAAAGAAAAATAAAAAATTAAAGTTTCTTCATCATTAACTTTAGATAGCAGATGCATATTCTCTGAATGATAAAGCCAGTTTTCTTCTTGCCATTTTTGTAAAATTTTTAATTTTTTGAGACAGAGTCTCACTCTGTTGCCCAGGCTGTAGTGCAGTGGTACAATCTTGGCTCACTGCAACCTCCACCTCCTGGGTTCAAGCAATTCTCCTGCCTCAGCCTCTTGAGTAGCTAGGATTACAGGTATGTGCCACCACGTCCATCTCATTTTTGTATTTCTTCGAGACGGGGTTTCACTATGTTGGCCAGGCTGGTCTCAAACTCCCGACTTCAAGTGATTGCCCACCTCAGTCTCCCAAAGTGCTGGCATGACAGGTATGAGCCACCGCACCCAGCCTCTTCTTGTCATTCTTTAATTCTGGTCTTTAAACAAAACCCGGGTTGGGTGCAGCTGTACATGCCTGTAGTCCCAGCTACTGAGATCCTAAGTCAGGACTGCCTGGCTCCAAAGTTACGGGCTGCAGTGCACTGTGAGTGTGCCTGTCAACCGCCACTGCACTCCAGCTTGGGCAACACAGTGAGACCTGTCTC